TCTAGGCTGGATTGATATTAAGGCTTTAGCCAGCCTATTGATCTTGTTGAGTACTGTCTCTCCAGACTTTTCCCTTGCAGCTTTGCAACTTTGAAATATTTTTAAAAATAAAGGATCTCAAGTTCTTAATCTACTAAAAAAGAAGTGGACTTCACTTAGTTCTACTTCTTATGCTACTACTATAGTGGTCCCCCAAAGTAAACAGTCATTGTCTGTTTAGGACTCCTTCTACTTTAGTTGTTCTAATAAATCACTCAACCTTTGGTTTATATTGTTTATTAGATACATCTCATGGTGTCTTATTTTCTATTTTTGATCTTAAGGGAAGTTCAAAATTCTTTGAACTTAAATTGACTACTTCCCTTCAAGACAAAATTAGACTATATGAACCTTCTAAACTCTTCTTTACACCTTTTTTCACTTTGTATCTAACAAATAATATGATCAAGGGTTGTCTAGGTAGTTTCCTTGTTATGTTCACTTTGTTTTCTTGTAGGCACCTAGGCTACTACATAGGGTACTTTAAGCAAGATACCTTAGTATGTAGGAGTACTTCCTTAGTTTGCTATAGTTTTAGTACTTTCACATTTTTAGGATTTATTTTTACACATAGACTACACTATAGTAAGGACCCTATCCTTATTCTTAGAAAGTATGTCCTTCCTAGTCTAGGGAACCTTGTTAGGACTATAGAAGGAAATCCTCACAGGGAACACAATCCACATATATTATTTGAATATATCATCTCTAATGCATTGTCACTTGTTTTTCTTGTAGGTGATGTTGTCTGTGTGGGAGAACCACTTGATTTGAGGACAAATCCTTTTGAACAGGGAAGGGATGATGGAAACCTATTTCCCAAGGATTCTTGTGGAAGAGATAAGATCAAGAAGGGTTGAAGGATGATAAAGTTAGTTTGAAAAATTATAGGGCACTTACCCTTATTTTGTAGGGCACTCTACCTTTGGAGGATATCCTACCTTAAAGGACTTTTATTGTTGTTGTATATTTTTCTTACTTGTAATTCAATTTAGTAGTGATTGTATTAGGATATTTTTGACCTTGTATTTTGGATCATGTAGTGTAAGTAATTTTTTCCTTGTATTACTTGAGAGTATAATTAGTAGATTAGGAGATGTGTAACTAATAAAGTCTTATTAGACTTATTTGGGCTTGGATGGCCCAAACCTTTTTTATGGCCCATAGGTTTGGACATCCACTTACTCATGCAAGTAGTTTGGACTTCCAAACCATGCCAAGCTTGTCATCCAAGCTACAAATTAAGTCACATGACTTTGATAGTGACATCTCAACAAACTTGTTAAAAGTAATCATTAGTCTAGTAATTGTAATGATTAGGTTAGGCATATAGAGTTAACTTAAGCTAACCTAGGTTATTCTTAAACTAGGATTAGCTTAGCTTGCTCCATAAGCTTCTAGACAACTAACTAGACTTATAGACATTTAACTAGAGTTAGTTAGCTTAAGTACAAGATAGCTAACCATGGTTACATTTAACAATGGTTAGTCTAACTTGCACCATAAGCCAACTAATTAAACTCTATATATTGTAGTTTTTTCCATTTTGTAGGATCTTTTGGATGCGTATATTCAGATTTGGCCGAGAGTTTCTCTTAGTTCTCTCTCTCAAAAGTCTAAATTCTCTCTTTGATTTGCTTCCAGTTTTCTTATCCTCTTCCTAAGAGTATGGTGAGAGTTAAAGTGATTTATCTTCTATCTCAAGTGACACCATTTGAAGAGTGTTCCTCACCTTTGAAGGTGAAACCAGAGGTCTCTTCCTCCATTGGAAATCTTGAAAAAGCTTGAGGAGTGTCAAGAAACAAAAAATTTAAGAAAAAACATGAAGGAGAAGTTTCAACAATCTAGTTCCTCCTTAAGATTGAAGTGGCTTGGTAAAAAAAATACTTGTAACTTTGTTCAAAGTTAGTGGAGCTCAATTTAATTAGATTAAGAACTGGACATAGCCTCGGTGGTTGAGGTGAACTAGTATAAAAACTTCTTATGTTCATTGATTACTCTTACTAATCCTTCATCTATTGCAGATACTGCTTCACGTACTTGCAAACGTGTGAGTTTTTTATATACATTATTCAACCTCCCCCTTTCTAGTGTCTATCTTTTCTCCACATCTCTGCTCATGATAAGCAAAGGTCTAAGAAGTACGTTCTCTCTTGTAGTTTCCTCTAGTCTCCTAATCATAAACCTTGTTAAAGATTCTATAGCCTTCAAGGATGGTCCTCCATCATAGACTCTAACTTTCATCCTTCTTGGACTTATCTCTTCCAAAGGGATCCTTGGGAAGTAGGTTTCCATCAACCTCTCTAAGCTTAAAAACTTGTCAGCAACAACACGTCCTAGACTTTCCAAGTATTCTTTTCAACCAAACCTCTTTAGGCATATCAATAAGTTGAATGGTGTACAAGTGTTTTTACTCACTAGGGTGAGAATAATGCTTTTCAAACACTTTAGTGCACTCACTTAACTCTAACATTACAAGGAGTACAAACATCTTCTACTTAGAAATAAGAGTTTTGGGTAACTTTATGATATTCTCTATTGAGATGCATTGATGTTTCCAAAAGGAATTGTTTCTTATCTTTCTCATCTTACAAAAGTCTTATTTTATAGCTTATTGGAAAAAAAAAATGTTAGGAGACAATGCTAGGGAATAAAGCATTTTGTACTATTTTTCTTTATCACATTCTAATAAGGTACAACAGGTTCATATTTTGTCTTGTAGTGTCATATGGATAAATTATTATGTCTATTGTTGTATGCAAGTTTGTTATGCACTTACTACCATAAAAGAGTAAGCATGTAAAATATTCTTTCTTGTTTTATCCCAAATGAGGAAGGGACAAGATAAAATATGCACAAAAATAATTAAGGATACTATTCTTTTTCTTAAAAAAATGTGTACAAGTTAGTCACATGAAAAGCTATCAAATAAGAATATATTGTTCAAACTAAACAGTTGTTTAAACTTTAGATGAAAACTTAAAAGGCCTTTACTAGACATTTGTTTTAAGAAATAACCACTAGATTGTCCTTTATAGCAAAAGAGACTATACACTGTCCTTTTTATAAAACATATTGTCTAAAACTTTGTTTTATCCAAAAATTCTTATAATAAACTTTTTATTTTTACTGTTATCATCAAAACTCTTTAGGGATATAAGACTTTTATGTCTTTGGTTCCAATACTAACCTATCAACCTATCGGGTCAAATGATAGGGCAAGGCAGGTTGACCCATTAACTAGTTTAATTTTCAAATATTATTTTTAATTTATATCGTAACTTATGTTGTGTATGTGAGTGTAAAGGTTAGAGTTTCCAAATTCAACCACAAAATTCTCATTCTCACAAAAATGGGGGAGTTTCTTCCACAATGCATCTAATTTTTTTGAAGTAGAAGATGAATAGTGATTTGTGTTTTTTATAATTTCATGATTGCTTATGTATATTTTGTGGACTTTGTATATTTTTTGTTGTAGCATGGTCTTACTATTAAATGATTATTAGTATTTGTGTTGTGGTTCTTAAGAAGTATTATCATTCTGTGTTGTTGAAAGACTATAGTAGTAGTAGTTTTGATTAAAGAGAAAGAGTTTTAGTAATTTGTAATTTAATCTTTTTGTGTTGTAGTCTTGAAATTGAAAAGGACAAGTTTATGCTACGAAAAAAATTAAATTTTTCAATTGCACTTGCTACATTTTGCATCTAGCCTTTTCCAGCATTTGAATGGAGAGTAACTCATACCCAATGCTAACAAGGTGGGTAACTTTTCTCTTTACCATTTCCTTTGCTACAATTATTTTTAGCACTCTCACCACCTGTAAGCTTATTCCTTTTCTTTCTTTTTAATTATTTCAACTTCTTGTCTCTTGGCTTGTAAAATACCTTTAATTGTATGATCTTGCCATAGAAGCATTAATTGCTCTTGAGCTTCTAAGGCATGTATGAATTCTGCCAAAGTGATCTTGGATAAATCCTTTTGTATTCTCCTATGTGGTTATTGATGCTTCATATCTCTCAAATACTATAACTAGATTTTTTCAAATATTCTAGAATTAGTAAATTTAGTGACAAGAATCTAATCTTTTTAGCAATACTTAGCAATTATCTAAGTAACCCTTAATCATCTCAGACTCTTTCATTTTTTCCGCTTCAATTCCCACATCAAATTCAGAACTTGCATTGCCTCAAATTCGCTCATTCTCCGCATACTCTTCCTTCAAATAATCCTAACACTTTGGTGTCTCGTGGATCATGATTCTAGTAAATATAGTTTGAGAAACACTAGTAAGTAGGCATCCCTTTGCCTTTTCCTTCTTGGTTTTTTTCTCTTTGTGATTTACTTATTTGGGCCATGGTGGGACTATCAAGTAGCAAAGGCATGCCACAATCCTCTTTCACGGCTTTCCACAAATCCAAAGCTTCTAGGTGGGACTCCATTCTCTATCCAAAGGTCATAGTTCTCCCATTAAAAATAGGAGGAGCAACATGTGAGAAACTTAGATTCAACATCCATTTTACAAGTCCCTTAAGAAGAGAAATTAGATACCAATTATAGGTTATTTTAAATTTTGAACAAGGAAGATAATAGATAGATAGGACAACGTGAGTGAGAGTATATTGTGTTGCTAAAGCATACATAAGTTTATTGTATAACTTATTTAAATACACCAAAAATAACAGAATAAAAAATCATGCTACATGATTTTAGGAGGTCTTAATGACAATGGAATAATAAAATATCTAAAACAAGCTAACCCACTTACAACACAATAATATTATCACTTATTCAAACAAAAACTAATTTGACAGCAAATCAAAGGCATGTTCTCAACACATTGCCTTTTCAGCTTGTCTTGCTTACATATATCTTTCTAAGAGTATTATGTGCTTTCATTCTTTCTTTACCTCTTTTAATGGGTATACAGGTATAAAGCTTTCCAGTTTCATTCATGCACATGATTAGTAGTCAAAAGGTTATAATGACATTGGCAATGTTAATTCTTACATTACTAGGCACCAAATTGAGCTAATTTGATGCCAATATAACAAGAAGCATATTTTAACACAGGAGTTTTACATTCACAGATGGAGTTGAGGATGAGCTAATCCTTCACAAATTATAATCTATAAAAACTTACTATAAGGAACCCTTAACAGGGAAGTTTAAAGTTGACGAAGCAGCTTTTTCCCTTATTTGTTGAATTAGCATGGTCAGGAATTAGCTATATAAGCTCATCCAATTAAGCCACTGCAACAACATGAGCCTTGTGAACTGAGTTTTTGACATTAAGGCCAGGTGCACCAAAGCAGAAATAATGGCCCCTAAACTTCCTACCAACAGAAGTTCTCTTCACCAACTTTGGTGATTCATCATCAATTGGTGGTTGACTTGAGCAAGATGGCCCAGCAATGTCATTGTCAATGCAAATGCCCTTTTGCTTGTCTATTGATCTAGGTGAGGAAATTGATGATGACTTTGAAAATGAACTAGACCTGGATCTGCCTGAAACCTTGGCATGTGGCATGGATTGCATGACTCCATGCACTAGTCCTGAAGCAAACCTCTTCTTAGCATTTGGACTTGATTGTTGACTTCTCACAGAAAGAGTTCTTTTGTTGTTGGGAATTGAAGATGGCCTAGAAGAAAACCTTTGTCTAAGTGGGGTTGGAGTTTCATCAAAGCTGTTATTCCATTTCCTGCATGAGTCCACTGAACCCTCATCTGTAGATTTCTTGAACCCTTCAGATTTTTTCACCCTAGGCCACTGAAGAGCTCTCTTCAACCTTGCTGCTGCATGGTTCACAGAACTAGGCCTTTTGCTAGCGGTCAACACGCGATTCTCAGCGGCATTTGGATCAAACTGAATGTGTTCTGATGAAGATGAACTCATTCCTCCACTTCCATGATCAGCACTAGCATCTGAGATATTCTCAATGCCAGTGTACAAGAATATCTCAGTATCTGAGACTCTGAATGATGTGCCAGGACTGCTTCCAATGCTTTGCATTCTCAAATGTGTTGCTATGGCTTTCCTTGAGCTATGACCTTGGCAACCAAACATTCCTCCAGCTGAGATCAACTTCTTGATTAGTATATCTGATGATGCAGAATTAGGGTGTTGCCTAAGGTAATCAAGTGGGGTCATGCCATCAACGTCAGATATATTCACATTTATAGATGGAGCTGTCATCAGAAGCTGCACAAGATCAGTGTGAATGTTGCCTATGATGGCCATGTGTAGAGCAGTTCTTCCATCATTGTTCTTGTCATTGATGATGTCCTCCACATGGAAATTCTTACCACTTAGTAAGTTTCTCAAAAGGTCAACCTGCCGGTCCAATCTTCGGAATGCGTGAGATTGAAAACCAGATACAGCCTTATGCAGAAAAGTTTCTCCAGAGTTGTTTCTCAGAGAGATCAGTGTGGGAAATGCTGAGACTAGAGCTTCAGCTGTAGGTAATTGGCCCCTGGAAGCAGCCACATGCAAAGCAGTGTTACCTTGATGGTCTGTGGAGTTGATCAAGTCAAAGGTTGATGTAAGATATTGAACTACCTGCATAAGAGGAAAGAAAAGTTTGATTTAATGTCATACCATCACAACAAAATCAAATGATTAGATGAAACAAAGAGCTGATCTTCCTATTAGGTGGTCCTGGACCATATTGTCTCTAACTAGTCTCTATTCTCTGTATTCTCTCATATATTAGAAAACTTAAATACATGTTATATAGTGATTGCTTGAGTGTATGAACACTTCATGATCCTGAACTACCTAATAATTTCTCTCTCTAAGAACATAATTGCAATAATATATGGGAAGCTCAACAATAATGGAGCAAAAAAAAAAGGTCATAATGCATTAAAATAATAATAAAAAAGATAACAAAGTTTGTGTTACAAAGATAACAAACTTCAGTTCCTTTTTATAGAAACCTTTTGAGAAGTTTACCTTGATCCTTTTTACAAGGGACCTCTAATTAATTGTCCACTCTATTACTGTCTTTTTTAACAAAAATTTCCTTAATTGTTCAACAAATCTTTTTGGTAAATAAACAATAGGTGCGATAAATTAATTTTTTGGACTGTCTCTCGCTCTCATGAGGATAGAGGAAGATCACTTGGCAGAAATCAGAACTAACTCTCAGTCATTTTGCCTCTTCGTATAGAATGCTAAAAGTTACTACATAAGTGGAGATATGTTAATTAATTATAGATGGAAAATGGTTAAGAGAAAGGACATAATAATTTAAGGGTGATTCTAAAATCAATATATAAGCTGTCGATAAATTCAGTACCATTAATTAAATTTCTTAATTTGTGTAAAGTGGTTAAAAGGATCTTGTACATAAGACCAGGACCAGAGAGAGTATTTTAATCTTACCTTGAGCTTTTAATTATTTATTCCTGTGGACATACATAGTCTATGTGATCATGCTAGAACTACTTACAATAGTAAGGCTCCTACTAAGATTAGATTAATTCTATTGCCATCTGATATTTGATAGGTTGTCTACCACAAGCCCAAATATAGTAAGGCTCCTACTAAGATTAGATTAATTCTATTTCCATCTGATATTTGATAGGTTGTCTACCACAAGCCTAAATATACAAGGCCCACTTAGAATCACATTAGGTGGGAAAAGAGGGAAGAGTTAGTTAAGGTGCGTGCAGTTTTGTATTTTCAACGGGGAGTCTAGAGTGTATGCTCAGACATGGGCAGAGAGAGAACTTCTTCTGTGAGAAGCTTTTGCTCTGGGATTACAAGAGTTTATCTTGTAATACTTCTTATATTTTCAACCATAGTTGTTCAGTTTACCTTAAATTTGGGTTCCTAACAATATTCCATACCAATTGTTCTCTGTGAAAAGGGGATTCTTCATTGTATTTATCAAGAAAAAATCTATGATCAATCAACATTAACACCAAACAAAAATTTATGTCAAGAACTTTAATGTCCCTACTATCACAGATTCACAGCAAAATAGTCATATGAAAGGGGGTTATGAGAAAGAAGGTGAAGAGTAGCAGTAGCTTCAAACATTTGGTGCACAAGAATTAAGAACCTGTTTGTATAAAAAAATTTTAAGAGTTTTTCTACTGAAAATAAAGATCTTTTTCCGGTAAAAAATTCTCAAAAACACTTCTACTATCCAAAGAGTGACCAGGAGTGAAGTAAGTGATGATAAGAGATAAGACCATCACCTCAACCTGCCCTCTGCCTGCAGCTGCATGCAAAACAGTAGATCCCTCAGAATCTCTATAACCCAAAACATCTGAGCAATTAGCAAGAAGCTCCTTCAAAATCTTCAGATTCCCTCCTCTAGCAGCAGCATGAACAGCCCTATTGGTCATCTCCCACTTATAAACAGAAGGAATGTTCCCAACATGCCCCTCCATGATCCCACCTTTGCCAGCTAGAAACCTTGGTGAAACAGCAAAATCAAACAGCAGCCTGAAAACTTCACAGTTCTTGCTCCTTGCAGCAGCATAAAGTATGTCAGTGACACCATACTCTCCCTCACCAAAAACCAGCAATGGGTTCCTCTCAAGAAGGACTTGAACAAAAGCCAAGTCCCCAGCTGAGGCTGCAGTGTACATTAGCCATCCACCATATCCAGCACTAATGAGAGAATTTTTCCCCCTCTTGGACTCACATTCAAGAAGCAACTTCTGTGCCACTTCACTACGAAACTTTGCAACATCATTGAATTGTTCTTCATCATCCCACACCACTTCCAGGCGCCGAATTCGGCGCAGGGAAGTGAGCTTGAAGAGGTGGTTACTATCCATTCTAAGCAACTCACGAACCAAGTCATAGAGGCCATTAGCAGCAGCCCAATCTATTGGTGATGCATACCACCACTGGTCCCCAGTGCTCTCCCAACGAAGAGGAAAATATGTAGGAGGAGGCATTGACAAGGTTGTAAGGCTAAAGGCTAGTGATTTGAGTATTGTAATAAGTAACAACTGTAACAAAATGGGCACAGATAATAATTGAAACTGAGACGAACAAACTTAGAACAACTGAACCTCACACTGAAACTAATGATTGCAAAGGTGAAAGGGAAAGAAAGTAACTGGGGATGGAACTGTTGCAGCAGAACAAAAAAAGAGTACAGAAGCTGGACCTGTGTGAGGAATATAGAAAACAGATGCAGCACAAGAAAGCTTATATGGGAATTATGGCAATCAACAACTAATTAAGCGAGTATAAAGGGAAGCAAACTATTCACATGTGAGAAATGTAGAAAAGCACTAAAGCATACACATGAAGACAACACATGAGACTAGTTAAAGACTCAAGGGTTGAATTGTACTAGTTGCAAAATTCTATTAGAACACCGAGTAATCAAATATGATAAGGATCACAAGCGCACAAGAAGGGAAAAAGAAGGGGACATGAGGTTGGTTACGTAGGTTGGTGGTGTGGTCATAATAATATCAAGTAAATAGTATGAGAATGGAAACAGCCATAATTGTTCTCACAAAGTTTACACAGAAAAGGTAACAGGCACTAGAAAGAAGAATATTGTTTATAAAGGTGATCACAAGAGCATTTGCAGAAGATAACATGAGAAAGGGATGTGATATTCCAGAAAAAATAAATTTGTTCAGCTTGGAATCTCAAAAGGGAACTCTAAGATGCCAATAAAAATCTCATTGATGATTATGGTTTAGAACAGTGAAACGCTTGTAGGATGTAAAGGACATGAATAATAATAATAATGAAAGAGGGGTTGGCTGCAATGATGGTAGTAGAAGTAGGAAGTTCAACCAATGCAAAAGAGATTTCACTGTTCACAAAGGTATTGAATTGAAGTAATTATAAGACTAACTGAAACAGGGTGCTTTTGCTTCACACTTTGAGAGACAGAACTCATGTGTCCATCAAATGTTGAGTGCAACTTGTAATAAAATAAATTATCAGAGTCTTTGGACAATCAATTATATTCTATGATTGATGTGGTTAAAGTGATATTTTAGTGCCACAATTCACATCTTATAGCCCTAAACAATTGTTCAACCAAAATAATAATGTTTACTCATTCCCCTGGAATGTTTCTGGCAAAGTTTATTGAAATTGACTTTCTTTTTTCTTTTATTAACAACATATTAGACAGCCACACGTTTGCGATATAGAATATAGCATCTATGAAAATAGAAAAGGTAGGCTGTCAATATACGCTATCTTTAAAAGAAATTCTAATTGCTATTATTACACAATTTTTTCTATTCCTCTTTCTCATATATTAATTTAATAAATATAAACAAATAATATTATAGAGAGATTCACTTATCCAAAAACTAAGTCTTTGTAATATTATTATATTCGACAATTCATATTTTACATTAAATTTAACTATCCAATCATTAAATTAAAAAAAATTAATATATAAATCAAGTTTATAAACTTTTAAAAACTTTTAAAAATTATTTAATATTCCGTTTTATTAATTCAAATTAACAGATAATTATAAAAATTATACGTTGATTTAAATCTATATAACAAAGTATTATGATTTTTAAAATTTTAAAAAAATTATAAACTTGATCTTTGAATAACTTTTAATTGAACGATTGAATCGTTAAAATTTGATGTAGAATAAGTAAGTATTAAGACTTATTTATAAGTGGATCTCACTTATACATATATAGATAATTATATATAATTAAATCGTTAAAATTTGATATATAACTCTAGATAAACTTACTCTAAAATAAGTGGATCCCTACTCTCATGCATCCTATAGTGATAGACCTTATATAAGGGAGGTGGTAACTCAAATTTTACCTTGACAAGTCGCGTAAATTGTGTGTTATCTTAATTTAAACCTTACCTAAATCAGTTATCGATAGGTTTTACATATTACTATAAATATTCGTTGAGTCTAGTAGACACAAAGCAAGTATTTCTTTGTCATTAAAATCTATTTTATATTTAAGTCAAAATTTGAATTCTAAATAATTTAATTAAAAAATACAAATTATTATTACCACACTACTGTTGATCTCTAAATCATCATATATGTATGTATAAGTAATTAGTAGAAAAGAATATTATGTGATTGCATTGGAGGTGCCAAAAAGGTTTGAAAAGGAAGTCTAAATATATTAACTTTCATATAGCAACAAAATATTGTTTGGGTTGTTTTTGAGTAATAGTCTCCCTAACCCACCGGCCTCTAAAAGTAGCTGAATTGTTTGTGTTTGTGAACCTAAATTTAGTGATTGACCTAAAAGTTGCAACTCTTAAAGCAAATAAATCAAAATTTGTCGGTGTAATCAACCAATGATTTGATACCATGGCAACATGAAAAGAACAAGGCATTGAATTTAAGAAATTTTCGGTTTGGTCACGATAATTTTTATACGTTTACATAAACTTTTAATCATACCGAAAACGGATATTTCATTATTTTGTCTCAAACAAAAAAGTGTTTCACAGAAAAGTAATATTGTATGTGAAATTAAGCCATGAGCTATTATAGTACTTCAACTCTAGAAGTTTTGTTATAGAACTTTTCTGCTCTCATACATTCATATTCTAGAATTGGATCCAGTATTCCAGTGTAGTCATTTTTATCGTTGGATAAAGATCGTACGATTGAGATTCTGAATGTGTAGTTTTAGTTGATTGGAAATATATATATATATATATATATGAAGAAGTATCCATTTATTCTAAAAATAGGTCTATCTAGACATATTTCGTTCAATAATTCATGTTTTATATCAAATTAATGTAAAATGATGTTATGATTATCTGTCAATTTGAATTAATGAAATAAAGTATCAAATAATTTTTAAATTTTTAAAATTTGTAGACTTAATCTTTACATTAAAAATTTTAAGTTCAACGGTTGAATTGTTGAAATTTGATGTATTGTTGAAATTTGATGTAGAACATGAGTTATTGAACATAATAAGTCTAAATAGACTTATTCCTAAAATAAATGAATCCCTCCTCTTTATTTATTTATTTATTTATATATATATGAAGATTATGTGAGAGTGGGTTATAAAATGTCATGGATATTTGCCGTCTACTTGCGATTCTATAATTGTCGTTGAGTAAAAAAAAAGAAAAAAGTTTCATACACTAAAAATTAAATACAAACTTCATCCTAAATAGTTTATCTTCACAAGTTTTTTACATACAATAAAAATCAAACAAGAGATTTCACATTTCACGTTAAATGTAGCACATAGTATATAGAAGTTGTTAATTAATGAGTCTATGGCTATTAGGACTATTTCTAAGGTTAAACAAAGAAAATAGAAATTAATGTATGATGGACATGCAAGCATGAGGTAATTTGATATTATCATATTAACAAGTGTAAATGTCAAGAAAGCAAGCACGCGTGGTGGACATGGCTGATGTGCTCCTCGTGAGAATATCCAATCAATAAAGTTTCTACCCCTTACACAAAGATCTTATCCCTTATTGACCAACAAAAAGCATTAATTGAATAATTGAGAGATACCCCTTTCTTGTTAGTTATTACCATCATCAATTACTATTAGTTTAGAGTAAATTAGACTCGCGTGATGAAATTATACTAATACTTTCTACTTTTTCTACATTTACATGAGAGTCATAAATTAGTGTAATGTTTTTTAAATAATCAAGAGAAATCAATATAATGTCTAAGGGATGTTAGCACCATATTTTTCAAACAATTAACAAAAATTATTGTAGGAGTAAAAAATGTATGAGGCATTTGTGTAGTTTAATGAAATCTCAGCGTAATTTACTAATTAGTTTAACATCTAACCTCATTGATCCTACAGGTTTTCTAGTTTTTCTGCTACCATGCCTAGTTAAGAGGCACAGGTCAAGTTTTGAATGCAATCCAACCACAGATATAAAAATAAATAAATAAAAATAATAATAATATTTGAAGATCTCACACTTGCAGCTAAGCTATCAATTTCTCCCAAACCAACAATTATTAGCACCACAACTGAAATGTACAAACTCTGAGGTGAAGACATTATGAGAATGAATGGCCTTAATGCATGTTAATGAGGGGTTGGTAATCCCTTGAGACAGTGGTAGTTCACCTTGTTTAGGGCATGATGCTGGCAGGGATTATGCTAAAGATTTTGGTGAGCTGTCTTTGCTAGGTGCTCAACAGTGACTTGAGTCCAACCACTGATGTTCATTGATCTTGGAATCACAACTCCCAAAAGCAAAAGTTAACATGTGGAAGGCAGCTTTTAACATATAGGTACTACATCCAAAAGCTGGTATAGAGGAGCAGGATGCCTGCTTTTAACAACAATGATTCATGTCATGTCCAATTCCACCCTCCACCAGTATCATTTTTTTGCCTCCTCTTTTAACTTCAGCTAGTCTCTTTCTTGCTTTAGTGAGGGGTCAGGAAAACATAGAGCTTCACATGGGCTCTAGACCATGACAAGCATCACTAACAACTTCCCAATATCCTGTTCACTGAACAAGGTTGGATTATAAACACTGATTCATTGTCATGGAAATGTTCTTACCATTTTATGCCATCTTAATATATGAGCATTCATTATTATCGTGTTAGATACTGTTATCTATTTAGGAGGTTAGTATTTCTTTATTATTTTTTAATATATACCGATTAGAGATCTATTTAAGAACACAATATTATCTATCAAATATATCACATTTTATTGGTTAAATATTAAATAATTGTTACAATATGTAATGTTGTATAATATTATCTGTATCTCTTACTTACCTTTCACCTTTTTTTATACATGCATCCTAAAATCAAAGAGAAAACTTTTTGATGTGCCAAGTTTGCATCTAGAAAACAATTTCCTATGGGATAAGAAGATAGTACAGGGACCACGACCAAAGAAAAAAAATGATACAAGCAGGCAATCAGGGACCACTAAACCATGGCCAATAAAATTATCTCCATACCTTAAAAACATATAACTCTTATAAAATGGTATAATGCATAAAATGAGAAAATAAAAATAAATACATTATTTATTTAAATTAAAGTACTCTGTAGCTGGTTGGATTTACGTCACATAGTGGTTAAGTACATTACATTTACATGAGGAAATAATTTATTTAACTGAAAATCTCATTTGATCTTCGCTATGTGTAAAAACTCTTTTAAGTCAGTAATAATCATAGTATTGGAATTAGTTATTGACCCAGTAAATTAGAGATGCACATGGCAGAACCAATAAAATATTAAAGTACTTTCAAAAAAATATTTTTTATTTTCCAAGATTTGTATAACAAAATAAAAATAAAGTGAATTTTCGTAATTAAAAGTAAAACAAAGGAAAACAGAGAACAAATCCCACTTTAGAAGGGTAAATTCCCTTTTAGATAAAGCAATTAAAAAGTTCACGAAGCCCATTTCAGTATGACTAATCCTGAACAGAAGGCTCCACCAAGTCAATGATATAAAAGGGAAATAGCATATGCAATTTTAGTAAACCTCCAAAAGTGAGATACCATTGGATCACCCACCAGTTAAGTTCACTAGCCGGGGGACAAGAGATGGTGGCTTACACCCATGAAGTTCGATAGCAATGTCAAAACTATGGCCCATGTACTTTAAGCAATAAAAAAAATTCTTAATACACATTACAAGAAGTGGAACTAGTTTAAGTTTTTAAAGTACAATAGTCCATTATTGGAAGAATACATGATGGGAGCAACAACAATCACAAGAAATCTAATTGCATTTCCATCATAAATGAATACAAAAATTACAACTTCCATATTGATTTTTCATTAAATTAGTGGTTACCAACTACCAAGTATGCCATATTTACTAATAAAGGAAAGTTTGTTTATCCAGTTTTTTACCTATACAATGTGATTCTTGAAATATATATATATATATATATATAAAGAAGCAAATTTGATGTGTACAAATGTGCAATTATCATTCCATAGACACCACAATACTGAGTTCGTGGAAGGGCATTCTTTCGTCGTTTATATATGAATCCTCTTGAATGAACATTATAATAAATTTCTAATCAATGTTAAAAAGCTAAGCAAAGAAAAGGAAAAAAAATGATTAATAAGGTTCTGTTCAATCAACAAAAGCACTTACCAAGCATCCAAGGGAAAAATAAAAACAAACTGCAAAATGGTAGAAAGAAAAGAAACAACAGAAGTGCTAAATCATGCAATTCTTTGGATTTTGTTCCGTTTAATGATTTGCATACATGTAAGCCAATACTCAAAGGAATCCCAGAAGACAGAACCACAAAAAAAAATAAAAGAAATGGAAAAACTCCAGAGTGTTATTTCAACTCCACATCCCCCTAATTTCACTGTTTGACCATTAAATCAGTTCTTTGCCTTGACAGAGTTATTCTCCTTGATCCTTGCTCGGTTATCCAGCTTAACAAAGCGTTTTAGATCTTCATAAGGTAGTGTTTCGATGTTCTTCCTACGCAGTTCACTTAGTGCCATGCGTTTATCAAGCAGATGCCACAACCAGTCCGGGTATTCCGAATCAGGCTGGATTTTTGGATCAGTTCCTTCCTTGAGAATGTTGGCACCTACAACTGTACTTGACTTGACTTCTTTGCTAAGAGTTGATGCTTTGGGTGCATCACCAGCTCCACCCCCTTTAGATCCTTTCTTTGCTTTACCAGTGGCGTAAGTTCGTTGGCATGCAACCACAACTGCTTCTTTGGTGGTAAGAATGTGTCTAACAGACCTGACATGGTTCATGGCCATGACTCTCTTCTGAAAGAAAAATTTACTTCACTTCAGGACGGAACATAACTATGTAGAAAATCCCAGTATGAATACATATACAGATCTACATTCTACTGTGAGGTGAATACTGGTTCTCTTAATTTGAATTCAACAACTTATTGCTCAGAGTTCAGATTCCAACTCTATAAATAGGATGCAGTGAAAGTGAAACACATCAATCTGAACTTCTACCTTCCCCTTTTAAAACTTTTCATTAAGAGTTTAGTAAAACAAAGTTATCAATATTGTGGCTTAAAGAGAGCAGGAAACTAACAAAACTGCAATTATAAGAACATTGTATCATTCCTCTTCTTTCCCAACCCCACACCTCCAGAACTTTTTTTTTTTATATATATATAAATTTGCCTAAAACCAGTGGCCATGAATACATCTGCATTATTTGTATTCTATCCAAAAGAATGACTGTTTTAACAATATCATCTTACTGTGAATTTGATTCAAGGAGAAACAAATGCTTATTTTTTCTAACTTCATAAGAAAACTTTTGAAAATAAAGAATTATTTCTCAAAAACAAAAAGTAATTTATACCAAAATCGCCCTTAAATAATAATAATAATAGGGTGAAATGTGCTATAGGTCTCTCTGGTCATAAGTTGTCTTAGTTTCTACATTTTAAAAACGATGATTTTAGTTCCTCATCATCACATACATTTTTTAACGAGTTTCCTCCTAGTAACTTGAGTTTCATTAAAAGGGATGAAATTTAAATTTACCAATTATCAAAAAAAAAAAAATACAAAGACCAAAGCCATTGTTCTTCAAAATATAGAGATTAAGACCAATTTTGACCAAAAACTATATATAACCTAAATAACACATTTTACCCAAAATAATAATACAATTGCATTTCAGAACCTCAAAAACAGTATACACATTGTTCCAGAATTAAGTTAGCAGTGAATATCTTCACATTCTATTGCACATGCTTGTGAAGTGAACTACAAAAGACTGCAAATTTCAACACTATGGAGTAAACGCTAACATATCAGTATCCATCAGAATTTCCACAAGGCTCATTGTCGCAAACCCGAAAAATTTCCGATCTTGCGACCTATAGTTTATACTACCTTTTGAAAAATCTCATTAATTAAGGAATGCTCGAAAACTAGACTAATCCCTAATTAATGATTTTGAAAAGTAGGTTCATAGAGTTGCCACCAATGTTTTACTCAAAACATTGGAAAAAGAAAAAGTTTTTAAAAGTTTAATAATGGCCTTGATAACCAGAATTGGGTTCGAGAGCCGATTACGCGTAGGGAAGGTATTAAGTACCCTTACAACGTCCTTAATCGGTACTCTTAATATTTAATCTCCTTTATTAATGGTTATTTACATGGTTGAAATTTAAATTACACGGTTGATCCTAAAGTGTCGACATGATTGCTTTTATTATGACGATATTTAAAATGAGGGAATAGAGAAAAGAGAAGAGAATTGACTGAAATACCTCTTAAACGAGCTTTACTGAATATTCAAATATGGGAATCTATGGAAATCTATTAGGTGCTTTTTGGCTACTTTAGAAGGGAGAGAGAGAGAATTTTCGAGCTATAAGGAGTCTTGGATCAATTTTTCTCAGCCCCTGGAGCAATGCCTAAGTCTGCTACTTATAGACATTAGAAATGGTTATAACGGCCCGTTCTGGATTCATAACTTTAACAATGATTGTGCAGAGTGTCTTACAAGCAATGAGCAAGACAGCAAGGTTATCAATGTTTTACAATTTGAGGTTACTACTGACCTCAATTTGCCGATCAATTTTATGATGCACTCATTGAATCAAGATTCACAGCCAAAATCACATCCTCAATTTTTTTATATTTCAGCATTTTCCTAACATATTTGGCATCCTTCAGTTTGACACCCTCCTTCATTCATTTCCAAACACTACCCATATCTAAAGCAAGCCCCTGTTCATCTCACACCCACTCACAAGCTCAAGGCTATCAATCACCAGTGTTTCTGGCCATTCCAGGCATTTTCTGACACCTGCCAGCCACTACTCAGCCTCAAGCATGCCCCTCTTTGCAGTTTTCAGGTCTGTTCTTTTTCCCCACCCTATGCTCTACTGCTCAACCACTCACTGTTCAGTATATTTTATGAATGAGTCTTTAATTTTGAGCAAATTTCATTCAGTGTAATCTTCAATATAGCAGCCATCTCTGATGTAGCATTTTAGGGGCTGCTATCCAGAACTATAGCTATCAGAATAAGATAAGTATGCTATGAAAGATGCCTAGTGTTTTAAGAACAAGTAATCTCATTAGAGCAAGAATCCGTAATCTCATTCTTAAATTGTCAGCAGTCAGCAAACAACTGAGAAGCCGGCTAACACAATCGAAAAATTGTATCTCATTAGAGCAAGAACCAGTAACTACACTAGTGAAACTTCTAATATAATTGTCACACATAAATTTAAGGTTCACCTAAAAATGGTTCTCACTCCCTTCAAGAGTCTCTTGCAAATACTTGGAAATCTCTTCAAAACACAATTGCATAAATCTAATATTAAAATCAAACCAAAATGAGTAGATATGAAACAAAAAAATAAAAATAAAAATCTCTCAATGGTATAATAAAGTTCTTTCCTTTCTTCCAGAACAAGTGCCAAGGGAAAGTGCAAGTGTGCTCAATGAAGAAATTAGCATTCAAAGCAACAAAACAACTTTATTTATATTTATTAAGTAGACATGTCAAAACCATAGTTATTAATAGTACACTTTCGTAGCAAAGCATGGCCGAGGGGCCATCAACAGCTACGAAACTTCCATCATGGGGCATTATTCTGTTGTGGACATCACAGCAGCTTTCGCAGCCGAAAAGGTGGAATTTTGGGGCGCTATAGTGCTGCTACAGTTTGGTGGGCCGAAATCCAATTTTTGCCCTTGAAACTGCAAAATGTTAAGAAATCCAAACCCCTTGTATTTTTTCCACTCTTTTCTTCTCAACTGTTCAAGACCTTCTCTCTTCAGTCTTCTCTTCCTCTGTGTTTTGTGGCTTCCCCTGTTTGTGTAACTAGAACCACCCATCTAAATAGATTTTTCCAGCGACACCCATCCTTCACCCTTCTCTATGTCGCGTCTCTGGTTACAGCTTCTATTAATTGTTTCAAACTTTAACAATTAAGACATTGTTTCCTTTACTTTTGTTATTCACTTGTAAATTTCACTTTAAAAATATGACTTTTAAATTGTTAATCATGAGCATGTCATGAATTTTACATAGTTTACCTAATTTTTGAGCTTTTATATGTATATAGTATAAATATAAATATAAATAAACGTAAATGATATAATCTGAATAAAAAATATCACAATAGCAGCCAAACTGCTGTGTTTCACCACTATAGCATTTTTGGCGACAGCCACTATGCGCCAAGATTGATAACTACGCACAAAATGTCCTTCAGTTAAAACTTTATTTCTTCCCCTGAAGAACCTAAAGTGAGACAAAGCTATATAAACGTAAATAACCAACTAGTTCTACAATTTACATAGAGAAATACACCGAAGAGCATAAATTTTATCATGAAATCAATCTGACAGGATAATAGCACATCCTCAATTTCTGTGTCACTAGTTATGTCAGATTCATATATCACTCCGAGAGTAGGCAATTACTGATTAGTAGTAATTCCTTCTCCCACCACAGTCTAATTCCAAGAAAACAACCAACAAAGCGAGTATAGGGAAAAATTGTTCAATTAAGAATACCCAACCAAAGACAATGGGAAAGTTTATATCGAATGCATGCAGTGTTAGGATAAAGAGGTAAACTAACCACACACACTTTTAATTCTAGGACCAACATTCAGTTCAACCCTACTTTTCGAGAAATCACAAAACCTTAAAGAAACATTCTTCAAACTTCTGGAAAGCACAATTCATTTTATCTAGAATCTTAACAGAAAATCCATGAACACCCCCACTTCCCCCACCCACCCCCAAACAGAATCAATAGACCAAAAAATCCAAACTTGGTGCAAAGGGGTGTCAGAAAAAGTCCTTTTGCTTGCAACCCTCAACAAGCACCCCAAATCAAAAAATCAAAGAACATGACATAACCAATTCCACACATACAAAAAAGAGAAAAGCAGTTAAATGAGAGAGAAAAAGGGGGTACCAGTTGTCTGGATTGAAGGGTTATGGGAAGAACAAGCTTGTTGAAACACGGGCGAGGCTTAGTGTGAGAGTGAGAGTGATTGGAGAACCAGAACAGTAGAAGAAGGTTCAGAGCATCTCTTGAAAACCCTTTTGATTGAAAAAAAATGAAAACTTTGGGAGAATTTGCTTCACACTCAGATCTACTCACTCTTCACCTTCTTCTCCACCCTTCCCTGCTTTTGAGTCAAACAAGGATTTTTAAACCTTAAAAAACCCCAACCTGTGACCTAATTAAAAGCACACGAGTGCGCCACTCGCCCGAGTCAACTCAATTCTGCTTTCACCAATTTATTGACGTTTATTACATATAAATTATGAATGTGAACAAAATAATAAATAGACAAGTTTTGGAATAAAAGATTACTTAAAAATTAAAAAGAAATGACATTTAGAGGAAAAATGTAATATAAAACGAAATTTTAAAATTTTAAAATATGTATAAATAAGCTGAATAATTGTAAAGTTACAAGAAAAGCAAAATACAACCAAAATATCTTCATAATTAAAAATAATAAAAAATTATTTATAAATATAAATATAGAGAAGATTTTTCTCTTATCTAGATATAAACATGCGAAGAAGAACAGTTGAAATTAACCTAGTTGTAGGGTTTGAGATAAATATATATGTGAAGACTTAGAAGTTTAATCTTTTTCATTGATGTTATTGCTTGCTAACTAAAAAAAAAAAAAAACAAACACACGCAAAGAAGGGAAAAATCACTCTTTCTCAATAAATTCAAAATAATCTTAATGCAAATCATATTATAAATATGTTTGATTTAAATTGAATTTAGTGTATTTTGTAAAAAAAAATACACATATAGTAGAGATAATGTTAGGAGAGAATTAGTTGTAACAACTTATTATACATTGATTTACATATAATTTAGACGTTGATTTTAAATATGATTTAACAATATATTTTAAGTGTCACACTATAATCAATACTAATATTTTTAAACAATATACTAACATATATTATATTTATGTGTGTAAGTAAAAATACTTTTTAGTGACACATATTATGTCACTATAGGACGCATGTCAATATATGAAAATTTTCTTATAGTGAAAATATAATTCTCTCTTAAATAAATCATACTCACCTATAAGTATAGAGTCTTTAATTATTATACCAATTTGTCAATAGCATTTTTTATATATTTATTTTAAAAGAGATTTATTTGATGGTTACTAAGAAATATTTTTTATCATATAAAAAATATTTATAAAATGAGAATATAAAAAAATCTTAATCTTCATGCATTTTAACTATAAAAAGTTTTATAGTTTTTTTAATGTGCCAATACATAACCACAAAGTTAAACATTTTAGATTTTATTACATAAATATTTTGAATAATATAGTAATTCAAAATTAAATTATGTAAATAACCTTCAAGTGAGCTGTCTATCAAAATTAAATCCTTGAAATAGATGAGAAAAGATACTTCATACACTAATATTTGCATTTAAGTATTAACATAGCAATGATGTTAAACTATGACCACCATCTCATGTCATATAATTCTTAAATCTTACCAATTTTTTTAACCACCCAACTCTTAAAATAAGGTATATTATTTAAAATTGTGTATTGTGTTTTTTTATCAATATTATTGATGCAAAATGTAACGATCTGTCATAACCTTTACACTCTATGAATCATGCAACTATACTAGTCGATTAAGATAACCATTAACTGAATAATAATGCATATATGGATATATGAGTAAAATAAATAAAACCTCTATTTATATTTACAAACCATCTAGAAAATATGTATATAAATATATACGATCATCCAAAAATCAAAGTAATGTCCTGATGTCGGTCAAGCCCTATAACTAATACATCCTATGTCAAAATGACATTAGGACCAAAAATCTCACACCTTCGTAGCAGTCACCACAGCTCCAAGTTAATCCTAACCTGCTCTCATACAAAGTATGATCATCATAGTCCATCCACATGGAAACAGAAGAATAAGCTAAAATTCAATGAACAATCATACAAGCATAAGAACAAACTATGTTACTCAATCATCGAGTCACCACATCATGAAGTCAAACACCATATATTTCATCATAACAACAATCATTCAATTAAGCAACAAATTAAAGATATCAATGCATATCTATCATCTAATGCATCGTCACGCATTCACCTAGGAGATCTCCCTAACAACAAAGCAATATAAGTGACATCTCATCCTACCGAAACCACTCCAACCATTTTGGACAAGTCTGTTAAGAGTAAAATTTGAATATAGAATGGCCCGTTCTGGAAGCAAAACGCCCTGTTCTGGATTTGAATTTAATTCATAACAAACTATTGTGGAACAGCTCGTTCTCAACTAGGGTTTTAAGGCCTTTTCTGCATATTGGAACAGCTTGTTCCAAATTTGAAACGGACCGTTCTAGTTTGGAAATAGGTCGTTCCAGCTTGGGAATGACCCGTTCTGGGCTACTAAATCAGTCTTTATTGGGCTTTAGGCCTTCTGATACCATATCTTGCCATTTCTAGTCCTTCGGGAGCTGCTTTTCTTCTTGCTAGATGTCCATTTCCTTGTTTGTATACTCTGAACGAAATTAGGTGTCTAGACTCATAAACCGTGTTTAAAATTAAACGCCACAAAACCCTTAAAAATAGAGAAAAAGAGTCAACAAAATTAATAATAAAAAAAAACAACAAAAATATCATATATATATTACCCCAAAAACCTAAACTTCTTATACAATGGAGAAAGTATTAAGAAAGCGTGTGCTACCTGAATAAATCAAAGGGAGAAGCGAAGACTTACACTTGGATAAAATCAATGGGAAAAGAACGGTGTCTCCGGTGTCGAGCGATGGTTTCTGCCGCCGTTGTTTCGATGCTACGATGCGTCGAACTCTGAACTCGAAGCTTGGTAACAGCACTTGGTTTAGTTTAGATCATTCAAAGATCCAAAATGGAAATGAAACCCGAATCCGAAAAAAGGAACTGCTTCTTTTCTATGGGCCTGGGCTTATTGTAGATGCAAAACCCACAATAGGCCCAATGTGTAGTGCCTGAATCAGTGAACTGATTCTAGACGTTTTTTCTTCTTTTTTCATTTTATACTCCATTTCATACATTTTAAATCTCGTCTTAAATTATTTAAAAGATAAATTAATAGATAAAAAAATAATTTTAAAAAATCAATCTTATAATTAATTTTCAAAAAAAATATAATATAAAATCATTTTCTAAAGAATATATGACGGGTATAAATAGGAAAATGAAAAATGAGACTTAATTTTCTTCAAATATGACATTTATTATAACTAGAAGAGTCGAGACACTTCGTATCTCTAATAATTACACACAGACAAGATATTAGAAGATTATAGATAATTATTTAGATATAATATAAAAAAAATTCTTTTACATATAAGGGGTATAATGATCCACTAAAAAGTGGAGGCAAAAAATGTTTACATACTCCAATCCCCTTTATTAATAGGTATAGATATGAAGAGAGTAATTATTTTAAAATTTAAAATTATATTAGTTTAACATTTGAAAATGATTCTTCTAAAAAAATGTTTGGAAATGATTTTTTTTATTATTCTACGTGATTGGAAGTGATTCATAAACTATTTTTTTATGATTTAATTTCAAAATTTGTATTTTCAAAAATTTAATTTTAAAGTTTATTAAATTATCTTCTAAACATTTAGTTCCAAAACATAGATCAAAGACTCATTTAACATGTTGGTCGTAAGATAATAAGACTCAATTTTTTTTATTATTTAAATTTGAGTTTTGTGAATAAAAATATATAATTGAAATGATAGATCACATTAAAAATTGTTACTCAAATTTAAAAGTGTTAAAATGGTTTTAATGCTCCAACTTCTTAAAAATGGCTCCAAAAAGAATAAAACAACAATTAATATCTAGGCTAGAAATCTACTATTTGACTACTATTTTAAAATTTCAATCCAATACTCATGAAAATCTCTTTTTCTTGTTTTTAATTAAGGGTTGAAATTTTACTCAATAAAATTGTTACTTGAGTGGATCCGAACCTGAATCTTACATATGATAAATATGTTAGATAACTTTACAATTTTTAAATTACTCATCGAAATAAATACCTAAATTTGTAGCCTTATTTTTTCCTTATACTTTTGGGTTCTTTTTTGTTACTGTGATATTAGTGCAAAATATTCACCAGCTTCTTTTCTTTCAATCACAGTTTTTTATTTATTTATAAGACTCGAACTCGACCTAATGCCATGTTGATTTGGACTCAGATGCTCTAAACTACGAAAGACATTTTGAAGAATAAATTGTATTCATAACTATTATTTAAAAAATTAAGGATTGACATAATTTTTTGGTTACAACTTAAGGATTGAGATTATGATAACACATATGCTTATAAAGTAAATTATGCTTATTCTTAGAATCAAATTTGCTTATTTAAATTTCAATTTTTATCTAAAATTTTACAAGAGTCAATTTGAATTTTTGGAGTTGAAACGTCACTCCTCATGAATAAATAGTATGTTTAAGCCAATATTTATACACTATAAGTCATTTTTTTTATAAAAATAATCATGTTTCTCTATAAAAATGTCAAATCGTCTTAATATTAAAGGTATATTTGACTAAAAAGAGGGGGGAAATTTTTCATTGAGTCAACTCAATAATTAACTTACACGGATTAAATCATATAAATATGTAAATTTGATTTCTTGAATTCTTTCTTTCATCCTTATATGATTTAGTGTGAATCTCTTTTAACAAAGAAAAGATGTAATGATTTCTATTAAGTTTTCTTATGCATTTACTTTTAAAGTAAAAGTTTCCAAAACAAAAATACAAATTTTCAAATCTAAATTTAGCCAAAACTAAATTTGGAAATGAAGATTGTTAAAAGTCAAGTTTATGAATGATCATCGAAAAACACATTAATTGTGGTTGTTTCCCCATGTTAGGAAACAATCCCATCTAATTAGCTATATGTTAGGAAGATAAAAATAGAAATGGTTGAAATAGCATTCAAAAAATAAAATAAATACTTAAGATGTTTGTTCATAGAGCCCAAAACACTTGGAATTTGAAAATATACTTTCATAATCTTCATCATGAGGAACCATAATAAATTAAAATGAAAGGGATCATTAGGAATGATTGTAAATTATCAAATTCTTATAGTTATTGCGGATTCTCGCACTTATGAAATTAAGTTTTAATTTTTAACATGTTGAGAAAAATTATATACCAAAAGGATCCAATATGCAGTTTTTCATTTATGAGATTCACCATCTTTTACGTACATTCACAAATATATTGTTGCAAAATGTAACTTATTTCACTACTCCTTTGAACAATGAATATAAACTTCTCATAATTCAAATACCAAATTCTATCAATTATAATATATTGAAGTTTCTCACTTCAATTCATATTTTAGAATTTTAAATTAAATTTTCAAATAGAATTTGAGTTTTTTTTAGGTCAATTCTAATGAGAGTTGTTATCTCACTTTACGTACCAACAACTTATATAGTTACTCAAACTATTGGAGAACAATTGAGAAAATAATAGATTACTAAATGAAACAATTGTTGTTTCATATTTTTTTAGTCTCACTTATATTTTAATGGCATATAAATGCTTTAGAAGAAAATTGTAGATCTATTCTAGAAACTTTCGAGAGCTATCGAATAAGAGACAAAAATTACTTGAGTTGTTTAATGTACTTGATGTTATGACATTATTATAAGAGTGTAAAAATTATAAAATATTATGTGTAGCATCTCATATAAGTTACATTATGGAAGATAAACTCTTATATACAAATACACTTAAAACACATTTGAATTTTAGGCAAGTATCATTCTCCACTTATAAGAAACATAAAACAAAAGCAAATTGCATAAAAAAACTATTATATATTAAAATTCAAAAGTATATAATAGATTTTTAATGTGTGACATCTAAAAGCTTACATCAATGTCAAACATTGTAACATTGTCCAATTTTCATAATCTGCTTATGCAAAAGATAAATGTAGCATATATGCTTCCAATTTTTCATAATAAAATCATGCAATGACAAATAACAAGATAATCTTGTATGCTTGGTACACACTATTGATATTCATATGATCATCAAACAAAAGTATTGAATATTTGAACAAAAGGGTAGAACAAACATACATACATAGTTTTCCCTACTAAATCCATGAGTTGATGAAGATGGAAAATAAAACGATGATATATTACAATACTTCCTACTTGTACATTGTAGAGAAAAGAAATATCATATCTCATATTGTATATTAACCGCACATGAATCAAAAGAGGACAATAGATTAAGGTAAAAGACAAGGAGTTGGTGTGAAAAGCAAAAACTCCTAAATAAAAAATAAATAAACAATGTAACTAACAAATAATTTTATTCCCTTCTCATTATCATAAAGAGACAAACATCAATTGTTTTTATCAAAAAGGATAATGTCTCAATTTCTATAAACAAGTGTTTACATTGACTCAAAATAGGGTAAAAAAAACATTTTTATTTTTTTTCTCCTTTTTATTGGAGGGAATCTTACATCAATGGAACAATAAGCTTATTACTTATCATAGTACTTGATAAACCAATGGTGTATTGATAGATCACAAATCTAGCCAAAAAAATAGAAAGTGTGTAGTCATCATATAAAATGGTTGAACTTGATTTATTACTTCAGCCATTAACCTGAAAAAAACTTCATATTATTCTCCGAGAACCCCAAATATGTCAAGCCATTATGCCTAACAATGCAGCTTCTCCTTAAGATGTAACAATCAACATAGAACATTATTAGCCAATAATGATAACATTTTCCTTGACACAGTAAAACCTTGATAAAAGATCCATCGCGAGCACCAACATATGCCCTTCTTTGGCATCACCATTACATTAAACATCAAGAAAATCACATTGTTATTCTCACCTTAATGAACTCAATTTCATTGTTGCCTGGAGGAGGTAGTGGGGCTATGTCACAAACTCACTCATGCTTGAAAAAATATATACACATTGCCACACCATTAAATCAAGAATAACTAAGCATTCTTCACTATAGTGAACTGAACATTAGTTACACCACAGAAGGCATCATACAATAAAGCTGCTCTTGGATTAAAAATGCTATACATGAGAACCACCTTCCCTTCCTTCTTTTTTGTTTATCTTTTTTTTTTTGTTTTTCTTAATCAATCTTAATTATTTTTTCTATCCAAATATTTTTCTCCTCTTCCTTATCACAATTTAGAAAAGCTCAACTACGCATTATACAATTGAAGCTCAACTGTTGAGTAGTTATAATACCTCCGCAACCAAATGTTATACCATGCATACTCAGCTCACTTTGCACATCAAAAGTCAGACAACCAAATGTGCATGTTCTAATCCCATGTTTGTCAAAAGACCACACAAACTTCCACTAGCCATAGAGACAAAATCGATACATGGTCCTCTGACTAATAATAGTACATTTTGTAGCTTCTTTTTCCTTTTTCTCTGAACAATGCAAGAATTGATTCCAACAATTCAAACAAAGTAAGTCCAAACAAAACGTCTCTTCATAATCAAAGTCCTTAATGCATCTCCCACAATGAATGCAACGTGCTATGCATATTGTGCAACCCCTACACATTTGAGCATTCTGAAGCTTTTGCTGACAACTCTCGGCTGGGCAATCATAAACAGGTCTTAGTTTCTTACATCTTGGACACACCTCTATGTCAATCACACGATCATCCTCGCATATGATATGTGAATACACTCCACCATAGAATTGTGGCTTTTGCTCTCCCCGATGTAAATGCTTGTTTGCATCCAGTAATTCATTCAACTCTTCAAATTGTTGGTCATTCACATGACACACACCAGCAAGCCCACCAATTCGTAAGTGTTTTATACAAGGTTTTCCAAATGACTTTAGAGCCCTTAGGTTGGATAAGATGCCCTCAATTGTGAGTCTAATACAATCTGGCACACTTAGCTGAAAATGGTACACACAAATTTATCACTTTTAAAATACATACACATGAAAACATAATTATAATATCATTTCAATATAAATCAAGATATAAAAACCTCATGTACATTTCACCAAAAAAAAAACCTCGTGTACTTAAACAAAGATATGCTTTTATAAACATTGCAAAGGATGTGGTGGGCTGATCATCAATTCACTTTTTAGTTACAGTCCAACTACTAAGAGTATATTTGCACAGTAGCACATTCACCTTTATGTTTCTTATATCAAGCTAAAGTAAACATAACAATCCAATAAAGAATTGATTGGTCATGACATTATAGAATATTGTATATTAGCATCATTATACTTGCAACAAATAAATACACAATATTCGCAACATGAAACCTAAACTATACAAGCACCACACTTACAAAGATGATAGCTCTTAAACATATATTTTGGGTATAGTCTTTGATATAAATGAGATATTAATAATATTAAACATGACTCAACAACCTAGCATAAATCCTTAAGTAAAAAAGAAAGAAAGAAATCTTCAAGCAAGTGATGAAGAGTCCTATGGTTTTAAAAACTATTGTAATTATGGTAGCAACTTCAAGGCTTTTAGTCTCTTTGCAACCTCAGTGCAATTGCAATTGTGACCTTATTGGCCATATTTATTTGCAATGTCCCACACCATCAAGGGTCACAATGAAACCATAGCTACAATTTATCTTTAGATAATAAATATGAACATGTTATATTTTGGATCATGTTACGAATACTAACCTTTATCAATCTTGGGTTACTTTGTAAAATGCGTCCCAAACCGCTATCAGTGATCCATAAGCAGTTCACTAAGGTCAAACATTGAAGTGTACCTTGAGCCCTGTTGGTTAATTTAACAAGTGTATCATCTGTAATCCTTTCGTTTAATGGTTGATCAATTTGCACAATCCTCCATAACAAAGAATCACCTCTAACAGCATCACATAATGATCTACTAACCTGTTCAATGGAAAGAAGGTCTTTCACACCTAGATAACCCAACACAAAAAACAAAGCATCATGTGCAACACCTTCTTCAGTATCCAATTCAATTTTGTTACAATTTTGAGATTCCTTGGCTTCCCAACCTTGAACCCAATATTCCCCATGAGTAATACTCAAAAAACCCCTTGCACTTCCCTCAGCCAAAATGCTCTCATCAAACACCCAATCAAAATTTTGATATCCATTGGAATCACAACCTAAACTTGACATATCACTCCCTTCAGCACCATCCTTCTGAGGTTGCAAATTCTCATGGCCATTCCAAGCCCAACTCAAGCCTAAAAAGTGAAGATCATCATGATCACGAATAATTTCATGTGTTTCGTCCACCCCAAACTCTCCATACTCTGGTCGAAAACCCCATTCCAAATCCTGAATCCAATCTGAGAATTTTGTGAGGGTGGATTCAATGTTCATTCCAAAAGGATCCATTGGCAATTGGTCAACAACATCATCATTAACTACCACTTCCTCTACATCATCCAAATCACATAACAAACCATTGATCGTTTCAAAATATGTCTCTCCTTCTAGATTCTCATTAAAACCACACAAGCTGCAATGGCCAAAATGATCACAATTCTTGATCAAATAGCCATCCAACACTGACCCAATTAAGGGGCACAAACCCTTCTCCTGTGGAATTAAGAAGCTCGATTCCCCATAAGAATCAAAAGCCATTTTTTTCTTCTTGGAGAACAATTATAACAAAAAAAACACACACCTTAAAACAAATAACAAATATTAGAAAGAACAACATCCATTAACATGTAATGCCTAGGTTCTCAAATTTTTCTAATTGGGTTGAATGAAATGACAAAAACACGCACCTCCAACGCATGAATTGATTGTCAAAAAAAGAGAAAGGAAAGATGGGAGATTTTTATGAAAGGAAAAGAGAAAAATGAGGAAAAACACCAAGTGGAGTATGGCCAAATGGATCATTGATAGAGATAACAATGTGTTGTTGCAAGATGAAGTGGATTTAGCGCGATAGAAGAAAGTTAGGGAGAAATAAGTAGAGAAAATGTGATTTGGAAATTAGAGTTTGCAATAGAAAAAAATAAAATGGAAAAGATGAACAAAATGAGAGAGAAATTCCACTCCTCACTAATTTTAGCTAATTCGAGAAACATGAAAGAGATTGAGATAGTCAATAAGGAGGCAAAGGTCAGATTCATACTCTCCTAAACAAATGGAGGAGGTTAAGTTCACAGATTCTTTGAGATTATCTTTATAACAATATTTTTATTTTATTTTCTAAGTACAACACAATAGAACATACTAAAAATAAGAATGTATTCATTGTTCACATTAATAAATTAATAAATATATTCTTTTAAAAAAACTTAGTATATATATATATATATATATTTTAATGTATTCTTTTTTTAAATATGTTTTATTTCGAAAAATAATATTTTGTCATCCTCTCTTTTTCCACCTCTCCATTCGCTACTTTATATAAACTATATGTATTATTAATATTAATGAATTAAAATTTTAAATTTATCTATATGTTCTTATTATTAATGCATTTAAAATCTAATATATCATTGAATTAATTTAATGAAGTTTTTTATTTTTAATTATTAATTGAAATAAATGATATTAAATACATTTATACTAGTATGAAAATGAAGTACTCATTAATGAATTGTTTTTCTCCTTTGATCTACTTCTTTACTTAAGTTCATTTCCTTATTCTTTGTATCTTTTTACATGTTAGTGTTGTTGCAAATATACAAATGGGATACCTAATTATGATTGTATTAGGGTTGATATATGTCGTTGTGTGAACATATCACCCATTTTGTAAGAGTATTATTGATGAGTTATTTTTACAAGATGATTGTTTATATTTTACTATACTAGTACAATGTACATGTATCCTTTAAGAATAATAAAATAATATAATAAAATATTTTAAATTTTTATTTCTAAAAATGTTTTCAAAGAAAATAAGATGCAAATAAATTATATATTAATGCACAATATCATTATTTATGCCAATTTTCATACAACAAATTAACTAAAATTACATGCATAACCATGAAAAAAAATGTCAAAATATTATGGTAATGAATATGATTTTTTTTTGTTATAAAAATACAATCTTAAAAATGACCAATTACCAGTCATTATAATGAATTTAATAATCATATAGTTATCAAAATCTTTTAATTTTGTAATTCTTCTTCATTCATCATCTTTTTAAATTTTTAATATACGAAAGAAACATACAAAAGAAAGCATGATTTTAATTTTTTTTCTTCTACTGATATCTAAAAATAAAGATACATTATTTTATAGTTTTATGGGAAAAGAGCATGTAAGCACTCTGAGCTTTGATTTTTTTATTTTATCAAATAGACACATTCAATCATTATGTTGTCCCAATTAATACTTAAACTTTTATGATTGTTTCAACAGGTATTTTTGTTAACTTTTTGTTAAATAATTAATGGAATAAATAATTTTAAATCTATACTGTAGATTTAAATTAAGTAAGTTGTAAACACATAATCACAATGAAAAATAGAGAGTGAGTGAGAGAGAGTGTGAGAGAGAGATAGAGAGAGAAAACCCTAAAAACTAGTTACATTGCTCACACACATGTAAATATTGTGTAGTCAAAGTTTCCATTTTTTGACTTAACCGTGGTGCTATGGCATTTCACGGACAATTTTTTCTTTTACTATGATGCACTACACTGGTTAGTTTTTGTCCAATATCATTGATTTTTTTATTTCTTTTCTAAAGTTATATCACGGGTGGTCTAAGTTTAGGTAATGGAAAATTCATGTGGTGGGTCTTCTTTGTTAAGTTTGTGGTTATTGTATGGCATGTTAGGTATTAGATTGTTAATTTTCAAATCATATATATCATTTAGGAATTAGGTATAATTAGATTGTATGGAAAATTATTGTATGATCAAGAAATTAACTTAGGAATTAGGTATAGTTTTTTATAATCAAAGTATAATATAATTTTAAATTTATTTGCAACGTTTTACTACATTGACGTGGAGATACATATTGGTGGAAATTTGAGAATGGTACTGACCATTTGTCCATGATTGACTTTGTCAATGAAGTAGCAAAGTATGGGTATAAAAATATGGATTCTTGCTATTATAAATTTGATGATGAGGATTTTGATGTGTTAAAAGGCATGATAACTAAAAAACACATGTTAAAAATTGTGAAGATAATGAAAACTGGTGGCAGAAAAATGTTGAAGATTTGTTGAGGATGAAATCAATTTAACTAAAGTTATTAATGAAGCTCCATCTATTGATCATAGTGCTAAAGATATATCTAATATGATTTCTAAGGAAGTGATCAATGTTAATTTGATTGAGGTACCAATTGAAGTACATGCAATAAGTGGTGGTGAATAAAAAGATATAGACTATATAGAAGAATATAAAAATGATAGTGAAGAGTTGGAGAACTTTGTGAATATCTATGAGGATGAAGAACATGACATATATGACTCTATAAGAGATCAAATGTTGATAAAAACAAGTGAATAATTGGATGTACAAAAAATTTACACTTGGTGAGGCTTATATAAGACATGTAAGATAATATGAATGTTTAAAGAATGTTGAACATGTCTTTGATTATGATAATAGTGATGAATTGGTTGACCTAAACGAGAGTGATAGTTTAGATGATGAAGGCATGCCAAAATGGCCTTAGTTTAATGAAAAAAATGATTTGGATGGGAACATAAAGCTTGTGAAGAGGATGAAGTTTGATTCCAATGTCATGTTTAGGAAGACTCTTATGAAGTTGACCATTAAGAAAGATTATGATATTAAGTATATTCATAAATATAAGAAAAAAGTCACTAACTATATGCAAGGATAAATATGGATGGAGAATTCATGCTTCTTCCATACTAGACGATTCAAGTTTCCAAATTAAGAGTTTTAATCCAATTCATCAATGTGGAAGACATTATGAAAACAAGAGTGACAACAAAGTGGATTGCAAATAAATATTTGGAAAAATTTAGGGATTTGCCAAATTGGGAAGTTACTGGTTTAAAATATGTTTTACAAAAAATGACCATAAAGTTATTATATTAATTTTCAAAGCATATCATGCCAAAACTTTGGCTTTAAAGATAATCTATTGTGATGAGGACAAACAACTTAGGAAATTATAGAGATATGTTATAGTTGTTAGAGAGACCAATGGTAGTACTATGATGATAAAAATAAAAGGGCATCAATTCCAAAGGTTTTACATGTATCTTGATGCTTCCCAAAAAGGATTGTTGGCTAGGTGTAGAAACTTAATTGGGGTGGATGGATTCCATCAAGTTCAAAGGGCAATTATTATGTGTTATTGGTAAAGATGCTAATGATAATATGTTTCCTATTTCTTGGGAAATTGTTGAAATAGAAAACAAAGAGTCTTGGAGATGGTTTCTCACATTGTTGATTGAAGACATTAGTGGTGTTGAAGAAATGGGTTGGGCATTCATGTCTAACCAACAAAAGGTAAAATTTAATAAACTTCATTACATTAACTATTATTTATTGACTTGAATAATTAGATTTTAATGATTTATTTATTTTGAGTAGGGCTTAGTTGTGATGTTTAAAGAAATTATGCCAAATGCACATCATAGATTTTGTGTTAGGCATATGAATAATAATTTCAAAAATGTTGGCTTTAAAAGGAATATGTATAAAGATTTGATATGGAATGTTGTAAAAGCATATAGAAAAATAGAGCATGATTATTATATGAATGAAATTAATAAGATAGATGTAAGTGTAACATCCTGAATTTTTCTACTAATACTATGAATAATTATTATTTATTTTTGTATTTATGAAGATTATTTTCTTATAATTATTTTGATTAATTAAATGGGTTTGATTGAATTTTTAAAGGTTTTTATTAATAATCATTTATGAAAATTATTTTGTATAATATTATTAATTATGATATTTTGTTATAATTATTATTTGAAGAAAATCATGTTTTAAATTGTATCGATATTTTATTTTAATTTGAGATATATATCTGTTCCAACTCGAGCATTCATGGGTAAAATTTCAACCCAGAACGGGTCATTCCACTCTGGGAACGGGCCGTTCCGGATGTGGTTTTAAAGACTAAAGTATTGACTCAGAACGGGCCATTCTGGTTTTGGAACGGGCCGTTCTGGGAGAGGCTTTTGCACATGTTCTATGTGCCCAGAATGGGCCGTTCTGGATTCGGAACGGACCGTTTTGGCCAAATCCTGATGCCTATAAATGCGTTCCGGCGCTCTAGAAAAACGCATTTTTTCACTTTTGACCTTTTTCTTCTACACTTTCTGGAGACCAAGGGGAACCCAGAGGAGGAGATCCTGCTTCAGTTTCAACCCCTGTTTATCGAGGTAAGGGGGGAGTGAGAAACCTCGCTTTGGGTGTGGGAATGTATGCTAGGTAGTAGGATTGGCCCCCAATCCTGTGTTTGTTGTATGTCATATTTTTCTTGTATGTTTCAATTACTTAATTAATATGCGTGTATGAATAGAAACTTTGTTTAGGCTATGATTGTGGAATTTGGTGCTCCTATGGGTTCCTACGGGAAATCCTAAGGGAGTGCATTGGTGCTTGTATGAGTAAATTAATTGTGATAATAATTATATACGTGAATTGTCTTATTTTAAATGTTTATTGCATAAATTGGAACGCTCTATGGGTTCTTGAGAGAACCCTATGAGCAGCAGGCAAAATAGGAATATTTTTGTTTTGCCTTCTGTCTATTCCGTTATATTCCCTATTAAAAGAGATGTGTGAATATGTGTTTAATTTTGAAAATAAACAAGTTTTGATATGAATTAGAGTGCTCTGTGGGTTCCTGTGGGAACCCTATGAGAAACAGACATATTTCTAATAGTTTCTGTTTTAGCTTCTGGTTGTTCTGTTGTATTCATTGTTGTATGAGATGTATGAATATAT